GCATCGCTGCGCACAGCGATGAAGAGCCCACACCTGTCCCAACGGATGGCACGATGGCTCTCATTCTTCTCTGAGTACAACTTCGTCGTGCATTACAGCCAGGCAAGACCAATATTCTCACTGACGCCTTGTCACGACGTCCCGACTACGATCCTCGGACTGCTCTGAGTCGCCAGGCTACTGATGACGAGGACGATGATGACCGATGTGCAATGTGTGTGTCGCTGAACTTAACCCGAGCCGTGTTTATTTGATGAGATCGTCGCAGCGTACAAGGGTGACTCAGATTATGCAGACATTATCGAGTATCTGCGTGCTCCCAGCGATGCTGCACTGGGAGCATTATCCCGTACCAAGCGCGACCATATTCATCGATACAGTTTAGATGGCGATTTGCTTCTGTATAGCATCGACCAATTCGATTCTCCTCGCACGGTGATTGCCAATGACATGGATTTGCGTGCAAGAATCATTCACGAGTATCACGATGCTCCTGCTGGCGGCCATTTAGGCCGCGAAAAGACTTTCGCGGCTGTGTCTCGAGACTTCTTCTGGCCCCACATGTATAAGTGGGTACGCAACTGGATCCGAACGTGCGAAATATGCCAGCGTGTGAAGCCATCTCCATCGTCACAGGCTCCCTTGCGATCGTTGCCAATTGAAGCAGAGGCCTGGAGATCAGTTTCGATGGACTTTATCTTCGGGCTTGCGCCCGATAGCCAAGCTCGAACGGGCATCATGGTTTTTGTTGACAGATTCAGCAAGATGACACATCTCGTGCCTGTTCACGCTAAGGTCACCGCGGCAGACACCGCGGCGCACTTCATCGACGCGGTGTTCCGTCATCATGGCCTTCCAGAAAACATTGTTTCGGACCGTGACCCGCGATTTACGTCCGCATTTTGGACGTCACTTTTCGAGCTCCTCGGGACAAAACTGCTGATGTCGACTGCAGCCCATCCGGAAACGGATGGGCAGACCGAGCGCGTGAACCGGGTCCTCGAAGATGTTCTTTGGAGTTATGCTACGTCATTTACAAGTTGGAGTGCATTTTTACCACTCGCTGAGTTCGCACTCAACAATGCCGTACACGCGTCAACAGAATTGACGCCATTTTTTGTGAATTCAGCTCGGCTCGTCACCCTCGTGTTCCTACTGTCTTGGCCGTGGGGCTACCCACAACACCTAGTGGCTCCACTCTGGGGGGGGATAAAGATGATAAACAAGAATCGTGTGCAGCTCACGGTATTTTGAGCGCGAATGCAGTACCCGATCCAAGGCAAAGACGGCCACTTTGACGCCATCAGACGTGGCGTCCCCATTAGCACGATGGACTGCGCAGACACTTATTGACCCGTCTTCGGGTAAGCGTTCACCTACTGCCAACTACGCGCCGATTGAGTCGGCGCGACCAATTGATGACATGGCTGTGTCGGAATTTATACTCCAACGTCAAGCCATCACCCGGTTTGGACGCGACGCACTACAATCTGCGGTAGATCAACAGAAGGAGAACGCTGACAAACATGGCAGAAAGAACATGAGCAAGTTTGAGAAAGGTGACCGTGTATTATTATCTACGGAAAGTTTACGGGACTCAGCGGTCACTAATCTGGGCGCGAGTAAACTCGCGCCACGCTTTATCGGTCCATTCAAGGTTCTAAAGGCAATTGGCGACGCTTATACACTCGACGTCCCCTCTTCACTGCGACTCCACCCGACATTCTATGTCGGGCGGCTGAAGGAATATCGTCCGGCTACGCTTCACGGTTTGGCTCCGACGCCGGCTTCAGGGGTTCGTAAGTCGAACGGCCTTCCCGTCGTGCTCGACGCGCCGATGACATGGGGCGGGGCCTCGATCCCGTCTGAACCTGACCAAGCACCTGGCGCTCCAGAACCCTTGTCCGTTCGAGCAGTTCACGGTTCGACTGCCGGGTCTCACTCGAAGTCTTCTCCGCCTGGGCAGCACGTTCACTGGCAGCCTCAGCCTCCAGACGAGCATCAGCAGCTATGTTCACGGCCTGATCAACATCGTCCTGAGCACCCAGGACGCCAGCACTACCATCGCGAGGGCCCTCCTCCGCTTGTTGATGCGGAGGGACAGGTGCGCTGGATTGTAGACCACATTGTGGGTCACCAGGACCCTCCACAACCAGCACTGCAGTCGGCTCATGAGAAGCGTGCGGTTCCATCCGTGCGCAGGTACCGAGTACGTTGGCTTGGATTCCCTCCCGAGCAGGATACATGGAACCACGTTCCTCGCTTCTTCGTGACGTTCCAGATGTGGTTCTGTCGTAAGAAGCCACGAAGTCGGACTATTCCAAGGCGGGCGAGCACGCGAACGCTCTCGTGACAAACGAGAGCGGTAAGGAGATCCACGTCGTCGGGAGCGGGAACGATGACGCGAACGAGAACGATGTCGCGAACGAGAACGATGCCGTGAACGAGAACGATGTCGCGAATGAGAACGACGCCGTGAACGAGAACGTCGCGGTGAATACATATCACGATTGCGAGGCGAGGATCGCGAAGCAGGACGGGCAAGCGAACGTGTCGCTGCCCTGCGCTGATGATCCCGCGTAGATTGACTCCGCTGTCGCGAGTGGTGCTGCCAGCGAGGCGCACCGCGAATAACTGCGCTTCTCCGTTCGCTCAGACTTCGCTCATACTTTGCAATCCAACTTCGTTCGCGATCACTCAGCGATGTGTCGTCGCCATTCGTCATGAGTTGGGCGTGGAGTCGAGTCACAAGATTGGCATCCTTCATTGACATGGACGAAGCATAGACGGTCCTCATTCCAAGCATCCTCACACACTCTTTCGCGTAGCGCGCCGATGGAGTGATCGGCGCGAAGCTCCTCTCGATTGGCGAGCCATAATTGGAAGCTGCTACCATCCTCGAGCATCCGATTCCAACGTTGGATGAAGGTACACCAAGAACGTTGTAGAGCTTCATGCTCGATTCCATCAAGACTTTTCCCGCGCAGTTTTTGAAATCAGCGGAAGTAGTCTTGCATCATGTCCAGCGAGTCCGGAGCGTGAGCTCCGGACAAGTCGTACAGCGACCAAGGTATGAGCTGCCGCGCCATGATGCTGGTTGATGCATTCCCGCTGATGTATCTTGGGAGTTCTGCTGGATTGGGTGTTGGGTCTCCGGACATTGCTTGTTCGTTTGTGAGCGGAGGGTTTTCGACAGTTGAGCACTCACGGTTGGTGAGTGCTGTCATGAGAAGGGGGTGATGTAATGGGCTACATTACACACATAGTATTAACACAACTAAACAATTACATATGTAGGCAGGTGCTGGGCCCGAATAGCGGGCACAGCGTGGTAATTTATTATTGGTTTATTATTGGGCCTATAGTCCCCAGTATGGACCAATGATAAATCAACCTGAAATTGTGTGGTTCCCGAAAGGCGGGAACACTGTCGTATTTATTACGACTAAAATCTTCGTAATTAGTACGAATTAAAACCAAAATAAAAATCAGAGTTAATTTTACTTAATACCTACTACTTGGGCTTAAGTCTTCCTCGAGCGCACGTGTAAGCTAGTGACGGTACGTTCTAGCCCCGTTACACTCGAAGTCTGGTCTGCGCGATAACGCGTCAATCAAGACATCGACTTACCCGGCTTATATTCAACTTAGAAATTAAATTCAGAGAAGAATGTTAGCCATCTCGCTATCCTACGCGAGAGGTGCGGTAGCGGTTTGCAGTGATGCGTGATCCGTATAAAACACAAAAGTTTCGGTGCCCAGCAGTTGCACCCGAAACTTTACAAGGGCATACTTACATGAAAGTAGCTCCTTGTCATGCACAGGGTAATTCAGCTCTGCAGCTTATAAAAGCCGAGACTAATACGATATGACACGGTCAATGCCGCTGTCATCCCTTTGCATGATCGTGCTGCCGATTGCAACTTTGCTTGCATCGCAGACGACGCTAAAGGGCTTACCCGCGTCTGGCAATGCCAAGACCGGTGTCTCAACAAGAGATTGCTTCACTGAAGTGAACGCATCTACTTGCTCCTTTGACCATGTCCATTTTGCATCCTTTTAGAAAAAGGTCAGACAATGGCTTTGTTCGCTCCGCATAATTCTTGCTGATCGTCGTTCTCTGCTGACATTAGATGTCGGCGTTGCCACAGAGATACTTAGTGACGGCTGCGAGTTATCGCGGCGCGTACGCTTTGTGCTGGTCTGCATGGGCAACTTTGCAGGGGAACCATTAGCCTTACCACGTTTCGGTAGCATCTCTACTTTGCGATGTTTTACAAAATGTAAAATCGTCGTAAAGAAGGGGAGATGTAACGGGCCAATTGGTACACGAGTTCGTTAAGTATATGATACTTAACGGGGAGGCTTGATAGGGTACGTGGTACCTTAGACCTGCCACTTAGGTGCGGCACATCAGTGTGACCCACCCTCGTGAATGTGATATCCATGGATAAATTCACATTCAACAAGGATGAAGCCCAGTTGGGAAAAGACGTCATGGTACGGACGTCAACAGCGAGCTTAATAGGTTTAAGCTCGCATGTAAGGATGCGCTTCTAAAGGAACGCGACTCTTAACTACTGATTAATTAATTATGTAAAGACCGGATGAATATTTACCTATTTCCTATTAAGTATAAGTCAGTCTTGAATCTCCTAACTAATGCTCACTGCACACGAGAAGCCCCCCCCCCCCCCCCAGACAGCCCCCCAACGGCACTTACATCACAGATTGTTCATTTCGTGCGGGAAGTCTCAAGGCATGCTTTTACGTGGTGCCGAGCTGCTTTGAATTGACCAAGACATAGTTGTACTTTCATCTGCCAAAGTAACTACTCTAATGCTGAAAAACCAAGACCTAAAAATTCGAACCAAAAAAATGAAATCATATTTCTAAGTTTTAGAAATTGTTCATGTCGCACTTTCCTAAAACTTTTGGTTGGCTGTCAGGAGACAAAAGGACCTTCACTCTTTATTAATTCCGCACTGAGAGGCATTGAAATGGCTGGCGTGGACCTACTTGACGTACGACGCGAAGACGTTGCTGCTCTTCCGAAGGACAGCGACAACGACATAGTGAGCGTTGGTCGTCTACACTCGGGGCTGCAGCAGCTTCTAACTACTACTAACAGTGACGCGCTCAAGTCTCATCCTGCTGGTCATCTGTTGACGAAGGTTGAACCTACAGTTGAAGAGCATGACATTCATCTGCAACTACAAGCACTGGCGTCGTGCCTCGTCCACGATGAGTTTCGTGTGCTGATAGTGAAGTATCTTCGTCCCTTTCTACTGGACTTGATGGTGCGACTCATTGACCCGGTCCTCGTGCTCTACGAACAGCAAGAGCAACATAAGTATTGTGAGTGTTCCGATAGTATGAAGAAGAGTGAACTCCTTGCTGCAACGTTAGCCGAGTTGTTGCACTATTTGCCTCCAACAAGCACCTTAGCTCAAGAATATTTTCAAGCAGCGCAGTGTTTCTTTACGTTCGCAGACATTGTCGCACCTCGAAAGCAACAAAGCAACGAGACTGTAACGAGACTGCGACGTATCGCCAAGACAGCTTTTCTGCTGCTACGAGTAAGACCTACTGAGCTCACGTTACTCTGGAACTGGACGCCGTTTTTCCCGCTTAGTTTCCATGACGATATATACGTCCGTTGGTATGCGGCACGTGCCACGGCGTCGATATTGAAGATGGGAAATCGACAGAGAAATCATTTTCTTCGTGAATTGAACGTTGGTGAGGAAGCTGCAGTAAGTTGCAGTAGTCCTGTGGTACGACAGATTGAACTAGAGTTGCACTGTGAGGACTTGAAACGACAGGAAGATGTAATTGAAGTGAATGTATATCAGCATCGAAGTGATAATGATGGTGTAAAATCACAAGCACTGGCTTTCCATGAATCGCTAGAGAATATCTTTGGTGTAGTTGTTACGACAAGCAAGCTCCGCCAGGAACGACTCGGATTAGCACAAAATTCAGTGACCATTGAAGCGATGGTTCCTACACCGTCGACGAAGCGGAACTTACGATCACTTGCTATTGCACTTGGGTTGAAACAACCGATTCTGGTGGCAGGTCCTGGCGGATGCGGTAAGACAGCTACGATTCGTGAGCTCGCTCGACTTTCTGGCAACGATGACATGGTCGAACTGCATTTAGACGACCAAATTGATAGCAAGACGCTGCTTGGATCGTATGTGTGCACAGACGTCCCAGGCGAATTCACATGGCAACCTGGTGCGCTGACAACTGCTGTACTTGCAGGGCGGTGGGTACTTATCGAGGATATCGATCGGGCACCATTCGAGGTGCTTGCGGCGCTAATGCCGCTTCTTGAAATGCGTGAAATGGTGCTTCCTGGCCGCGGCGAATTGCTAGTGGCAACCTCGAATTTCCAGATTTTTGGAACGACAACAAACCGGTATCAAATGCCAAAGGGATTTCAGGAGTCTCTTTGGACGAGTGTTGATGTCGCGCCTCTTGCAAATAGCGAAATCGAGCAAATTATGCTGACCCGTTTCGTGAGGATCCCGCGGCATGTTGTGTCGAGCATCATGACCACGTACAATGCTGTGTCCGGTAATACAAGCGAGGAGACGTGTGGTCCTGCGCAATTATGGAAAGAGACACGGCGTAATTACGGCCGTGATTTTTGCTTGCGTGACTTGCTGAAGTGGTGCAAAAGAATATATCGCTTTTGCTACTCTGCTGCTGGAGCTGCTAGCGATAGCTCATGGTCCAATCACGAATACATTACCGAGGATGAGCGCATGCGTATTGTGGTGGAAGCACTAGACGTGTTCTGTGCAGGTATTCGGGATTCGAAGACGCGCTTGCATTCGGCTTGCGCGGTAGCAGCCATTTGGGAAGTGCAGCCCGAGAAGATTAAATATTACCTTGAGCAACACAAGCCTCATGTTGCATTCAGCACACACGAAGTGGAGTTTGGCCGTGTGCATCTGCCAACATTATCACAGCAAGCGCAGCTTGAGCAAGGCGACAAGCCAGCTAGTAGCTCTGTGGTGATGACTGGCCACGTACTACGTATATTGGAGAAGATGGCAGCCATTGTAGCGACCTGTGAGCCAGCACTACTTATTGGTGAGACAGGTTGCGGTAAAACCACGATAATTCAGCACATGGCGGAAGCAATGGGACAGCGCCTTGTGGTACAAAACTTGAATATCCAGAGTGATGGCTCCGATCTTGTTGGAGGGTTTAAACCTGTGGAGATTCACTTGCTCGCTCGCCCATTGTACATGACCTTTGTAGATCTTTTTACTAGTACATTTTCGCAGAAGAGCAACGCTGGATTTTTGAACGTGGTTCGAACTGCATTAGAGCACAAGAACTGGATTAAACTAGTAAAGGGCATGCGGAAAGCCGTTCAGATGGCTGCCTTTAAACTTCACAACAACAGCAAATGCGAAGCGATTCGAGACGAACTGGAAGGTACAGATAGTAACAAAATGTCCACACCTGGCGCGTCGTCGAGCATTTTGGTGAGCCAGTGGGACACATTCGAGGCGGAATTGGTGCGATTTGAACGGCAACAAGAGCAAGCTGAATCGCACTTTGTTTTTTCATTCGTAGAGGGTGTTCTAGTGAAGGCACTGCGTGAGGGTCATTGGGTGCTGCTCGATGAAATTAATCTTGCATCTTCTGACACACTGGAGCGAATAAGTACGTTATTGGAGCATGAAACAAGCGCATTTTCTCTCACAGAGCGAGGAGATGTTGAAATAATACGCCCGCATCCAAATTTTCGTCTTTTTGGTGCTATGAATCCGTCAACGGACGTGGGCAAAAAGGACTTACCGCCTTCCCTTCGCAATCGTTTTACTGAAATTTATGTTGACGAGTGTGTCAACCCATCAGATTTGCAAATGGTGGTTCACCATCATTTTAAGGAAATTCCGGGGGCGTTGGTTCCCGAAACGGTCGAGTTTTATCTAGAGGCAAGAAGGCAAGCTGATCTGCGATTAAGTGATGGCGCATGTCACAAACCCCGCTACTCTCTTCGTACACTAAGCCAGGCGTTGCATATAACACGAATTTTAATTCAGCGAGGCTATGGCACATCCCGAGCAATGTTTGAAGGTTTTTGCTCAAGTTTCTCTACTCAGCTTGAAATTGACTCGCGCCAGTACCTTGAGAAACTCATTAAGAATACGTTTGCGAAAACTCTTAAGTCAAAAGAGCTTACCCGCTCCCCGCCATGCCCTGGACGCTCGAAGAAGACTTCTGAATATGTCTTGGTGAGCTCCTACTGGGTTCAAAAAGGTGATTTCCAGCCTCCACGAGACGACTCGTTGCCGGATCCAGTGACTACCCGACGAAAGTTTGTGCTTACAAAGTCAGTGGAAGAAAATTTGCGCCATGTGACACGGGCAGCATTAATCGGCAAGTATCCTGTGCTGTTGCAGGGACCAACATCTGTTGGTAAAACATCTTTGATCAAGTATTTGGCAGCTCGCGTCGGTCAAAAGTGCGTGCGAATTAACAATCACGAGCACACGGACATTCAAGAGTATCTGGGAAGTTACGTATCGGACTCCAATGGCAAGCTTGCGTTCAAGAAAGGTGTTTTAGTTGAGGCCATTCGCAAGGGGTGGTGGATTATATTGGATGAGTTGAATTTGGCTCCTTCAGATGTTTTGGAGGCTCTTAATCGACTGCTGGATGACAATCGTGAGCTGTTTCTGCCAGAAACCCAGGAAACCTTTAAACCTCATCCGAAATTTATGTTGTTTGCAACCCAAAACCCTCCAGGGCTTTACGGTGGACGTAAAGTGCTGTCACGTGCATTCCGCAATCGTTTTTTGGAGATTCAGGTGGATGAAGTTGCACCCAGTGAGCTTCAGACAATTTTGCAGGAGCGCAGTTCACTGCCTGCGTCGTATTGTGGAATTTTGATTGACATTATGCGGCAGCTGCAGCTTGTTCGGCAACAATCGTCAGTTTTCGCCGGAAAGTCAGGATTTATTACTACTCGTGATTTGCTTAGGTGGGCTGAACGTCGACCAGCAACTAAGCAGGCTCTAGCTGAGGAAGGATACTGTTTGCTGGCCGAGCGGTTGCGAAAGGATGATGAGAAGCAAGTGGTCAAGCAAATTTTGGAGAAGAATTGCAATGCCAAAATTGATTTGAACGCTCTGTATTACAGTGGCAAGCCTCGTGAGTCCAATCTGTTGAACCAGAATGGTGAGATTGAGCAGGAGACAGTATGGGGTACTAAGGAACAGTTCGAGCGTGTTCAAGCGATGGTAGATCACGCTATTGAGGAAGCTGCTTTCGGAAAGGCTAGCAACGACGAGCGCAAGTCGACCGGCAATGCGGCAGGGTTAGATAAGATAAGTGTAACAAAGTCGCTCCGGAGACTGTTTGCGCTTGTTGGGCGTTGTTTACAAAACGAAGAGCCTGTTCTCCTGGTTGGAGAAACTGGCTGTGGCAAGACTACCGTTTGCCAGTTGTACTCGCTCCTTTTCGCTCAGCCGCTCCATATCCTAAATTGTCATCAGCACACTGAGACCTCGGATTTTCTGGGTTGCTTGCGGCCTGTTCGTGGAAAGGAAAAGACCGTTCAGGAGTTGGAAGAGGCCCTCATTAGATATTTTGTGCTTGATGACGGATGCATTGATGAGCAGGTAATCGAGCAGCGTCGAACGGATGCCAAGGCCTTAGGTGTAAGTGCAATGCTGACGAAATACAAGGAGACACGAGTTAGCGTTCTGGATGGTGACTCAACGCAGCAGAAAGAACTTGTGGAACAGATTGACGTATTAAAACGGCGATTTCAATCTATTTTTGAGTGGGCTGATGGTCCTTTGGTGGAGTCCATGAAGAACGGCGATTTTTTCTTAATCGATGAGGTTAATCTTGCTGAAGATGCCGTTTTGGAGCGTCTAAACAGTGTCCTGGAACCGTCACGAACCTTACTGCTAGCTGAGAAAGGTGGTGACGAAGTAGAAGAGATAGTAGCTCACCCGAAGTGGCGTGTGATGGCGACGATGAACCCTGGTGGCGACTTTGGTAAGCGTGAGCTGTCTCCTGCTTTGCGTAATCGTTTTACGGAGATTTGGGTACCAACCATTTCGGACATAGATGATATCGCTACTGTCATTCATGACAGGTTGGTTTGGTCCGGAGCGGGTATTCCGCGACCTGTCGCCACGCCTTTAAAGCAAATTGATGACTTGGCTGCGCTATGCAATCCAATCTTAAGTTTCGTTACGACATTTAACGAGGCGAATGAAGGTGTTTGTGGATGTGGAGCTGTGACTTTGCGCGACATCCTCAGCTGGATTAATTTCATCATTTCTGTCGTGAAAAAGCGAGAATCTGACTCATCATCTAAGCAAATGGCATGGATGGCGTTTGTGCAGGGTGCTGCACTGTCGATACTAGATGGTCTTGGTCTTGGCTCTGATAAAGCATTACAATCGGCTCTGAAGGCGAGAGAAAAGGCATACGACTACTTGATAGCGCTAGTGCCAGACGATGATCTAGTTGTTAAGGAAAAAGTCATTGACTCGCTGAACGTCACGACGCTATCTGGTGAAAGCAGCATTGACCAGCTGAATTGGAATGCTACTGCGGGGACCACTGAAGAGAGGTTTGGTATTAGCCCTTTTCTTATCTCTCGCGGACCTAATCCTTTGCGGAAGTCGTCTTTTTCTTTAAAGGCTCCAACAACGATGTCAAACTTGTATCGCGTCTTGCGTGCCATGCAGGTCAGCCGCCCCATCATTTTGGAAGGTTCTCCAGGTGTCGGCAAGACCAGTTTGATCAGTGCATTAGCGGCAGCTTCAGGTCACCGTCTTGTGCGTATCAACTTGTCCGAACAGACTGACATTTCTGATCTGTTCGGATCGGATCTACCTGCTGCCTCTGGTGATGAGAATAGCGGCCAAACTGAGGGAGGAAACTCAAGCGACTTGTTCGAGTGGTGCGACGGTGTGTTCTTGCGTGCTTTAAAAGCAGGTGACTGGGTTCTACTTGACGAGCTTAATTTGGCATCACAGTCTGTTCTGGAGGGTTTGAACTCATGCCTGGACCACCGAGGTAGCGTCTACATTCCCGAGCTCGACCGCGAGTATAAGTGTCCGCTCTCTTTCCGAGTTTTTGCTGCGCAGAACCCGCTTCGACAGGGCGGAGGCCGCAAGGGCCTCCCAAAGTCATTCTTGAACCGATTTACTCGAGTTTTTGTTGAGACTCTGCACGAGCAAGATCTGATCCACATCACGAGCTCCATGTATCCTACGCTGGACTGCGCCGTCTCAGAAATGGGCTTAAGCAATATATCGTCAAATGGACAGACTTTGCTAGAACGGATTATCGGCTTTAATGAAGCGGTGCATGAGGACACCATGGTGAACTGTAAGTATGGGCGTCTTGGTGCACCGTGGGAGTTCAACTTGCGCGACGTGTTTCGTTTCTGTGACTTGCTTAAGCAACGGCCACAACTAACGAACAGTCCTGATAGCCAGCTTCAGGCGTTAAGCTACTACGTAAACTTTATCTATGTGGAACGTATGCGTTCTGCTCGCGATCGCCAGCTAATCTCTCGCCGCTTTGAAGATTTTTTTGGCGTAAAGCCAATGGATTTGAGTGAGGTTTCACTTCGCATATCTGCAGATTTTGTAGAGATTGGAAGTGCATTGCTTGAGCGGCGACAAGATGGACACGTTGGTCATGTTGCGCCGCCAATATTCAACTTCTTGCTGAGACCAATGGAGGCGCTGGTGCATTGCGTGAATATGTCATGGCCGGCTCTTCTCATAGGCTCACCTGCCAGCGGAAAAACATCCTCGGTTCGTCTGTTAGCTGCTTTGAGTGGAAATACGTTGCACGAACTCGGTATGAGTGCCGGAACGGACGCTACGGAGCTGCTCGGTTGTTTTGAGCAAGTAGATGTTGGACGAAAACTGCGTGACATCAAGCAGAAAATTCAAATTGTCTACGAGAAAGTGCTTCAGCAGCTGATGCTTGCATCCGCGACTAGCGGGATTTCTCAGAAGAAGAGAGCAACGATCCAAAAGAAGGCTGACCGTCTCTGCAGTACTTGGTGGACACTCATCACGCGAGAAAAGTATTACAGCGAAAATGCATCGCTGCGGATTTCGAATGGAAAAAAGGTTAAAACGAAAAAGTTACCAAAGGGACATCTAGATGAGGTAGTTGTCGATTTGATGAAGGATGTCGTTAGTTTGCTTCAGAAGTCTGACGCCACAAATGGGGAGATGCTATTGATGCTTGCGGGCTTTATGAATGACATTAACAACGTCGTGCAAATCAGTAAATCGACCTCAATTGCAAGCTGCTTTGAGTGGGTAGACGGAACTCTCATTCAGGCCATGGAGAAGGGTCAGTGGGTGCTACTGGATAACGTCAATTTTTGCAGCTCATCTGTGTTGGACCGATTGAACTCGTTGATGGAGACTGATGGTGAGATGCTTATTAACGAATGCGGTATCATCAACGGTAGACTTCGTGTCATTAAGCCCCACAAGAATTTCCGAGTGTTTTTGGCTATGGATTCTCAATATGGTGAGGTTTCTCGTGCGATGCGAAACCGGTGCGTGGAAATTGCACTTTATGAGGAGGAGGCATCGCGTCTAGATCTTATTAAGATCGCGCTGGCGTGTGGAGTTCCAGGGTTTGCTCTCTCTCGAGCTTTCCAAATTGCCCATGAGCGCGTTGTCAACAAACTCGGAGAGCATCTGGTGGCCACGAAATATGGTCGCATTAACCGTCGGTACCTAGAACACTGGTCTTTGTTGGCTTTCGCTGAGCTTTCACGAGGAGTTGAACCCCTTTACGCCATCACCGAGTCTTTCCAACGTGTATATGGTGACGGGTTGCCAGCCCAGCTTGATTTGAGCCAAGAGATGTTAGAGCTGTTTCTTGACGCATTACAAACTTCCCAGCAAAACGACCAAGGTCAGCGTGCGCTTTCAACGATTGCCGCACCTTCTACATTGGTGATGTGTCAGCAGAGCGACAGCTTTGTGCTGCATCGAGATATTGCGTATCTTGAATACCTCATTTTGTCCTCACAGCAGAGCGCGAGTGACCTGCAACTAAGCTGGTTGTCTCCCCAGGTTAGCGCTGCTACCTGTAAAGATACTCCAGTTTCCGGTGGAGATAGCAATTTGAATGCTTGGCTGGAGTATATTGTATCGCGGATCAATCACCAAAAGACGACTTACACGCAGAGGGCTCTAGAGGTAGCCAATGATCACCTATCGTCGAAGTCGTTCTTTGGGCTAGAGAATGCAAACACGTCTTTAGCAGTGACGCTTGCCCCTTTCGCACTACGTCGTATTGTGAAAGTAACAAGTACATGCGACAATATAAGTACTCACTGGTCATTGACAGCGGACCGCCTCTTTTTCGCTTTGGAGAAAATTGCTCGTGGAGCAAGTGGAAATACAAACACGTTACGCTCGGTTGAGTTGCTTGCCCGCTTCCTTCGATCGATGACGAAGACTGAGTTAAACACCACCATTTTTCAAAAAGTTGATGAAACGTTGCGGCAATTGACAAATTTGCTGGAATGTTCAATGCGCTTGCCTTCCTTGCCAATGTATTTTTCAGCCAGCCATGCGGCTTTCTTAAACTTGCAGTCACTTGTTGCTGAATCTATAGCAAGGACCCCGTCCAGAAAGCCCGACCTTGACAACGCTTGGAAGTCTGTGCTACTCGCTCAACGCCATCTTGAGCTACTGGATGGCATTGAATGGTTAAGGTTCTGCGAGGAGGAACAGTATCATCAAGTTGATGCGCTTTTCACTGCTTCGTCAAAGGACAGCAAGCGCAAACGTAATAAGAGCAGCCTCCGCTGTCTTAAGACCAATCTGGACAAATTGTCAGTGCTACAGCAGTCGTATGCTGTGCACACATATCACGCTGATCGTTCCAACGTGGAGAATGAGCCGACGTTCTTGGTTTATCCGCTTTTGGTTGCTTTCGATGCTTTCCTTGCAGAGTTGGTTCGAGATTTTTCGACTCCGATTATCATGAATCCGTTGTTTTTCGAAGCTGTTAAAGCTGTTTTCCGGGACCGATTTGAGTTTTCGATTCAATTGCGAGTGAAGGTTTTTGAGTGGACCCACTTTCTCATCCATTGGCAGTGGCTGAAGAAGGCACTACTGCGACTTGGAAAGCTGATCGAACAGCATCCAGCTGGCGCGTTTACGTGGAGCTCGCATTGGGGTGGCTTGCGGGAGATGTCCCAGCGTATGCAAGCAGCAATCGAAAAGAACATCGGCTGCAGATCCAGGAAAGACGTGCTTTGGAAGAAGGGAGGCTACTCGTTACTTCCGAGCAGTGTCGACCTGTGGAAAGCTGAATACCTGCTTTTAAGGCTTTCCAAGGTGTTCATGCAAGTCAACTCGACGTGTTTTTCTGCTCTTTCCGTGGGTGCATCAGGTGGACCTGTGGACGGTAGGGTCGACGTGCTTGCGCTTTTGTTTGGTGGCGTTGCCTCAATGGAAGCTGCGATGGAAAGCGGAAGACTGAATGTGTCGCCACTATTTTACGTGGATATTGATTCTCGGAAGGAGTTCTTGCATGCGCTATGTGCATTCTCGTACCTAGCACAAGAGCAAACACAAGGAAAATGTGGACGTGCCTCTACAGCAAAGCAGCCACATGCGCTGATGGCGGAAGAATTGTTGAAGCTGCCTAGTGTACTCCAGAAAAATCTGCAGAACAAACAGCTGAAGATGACGGAGTTAATTTCAAAGAAGACGTTGTATTTGAGTGAAGCAGAGGAAAGGGCTGACAGTCACGTGGATTTGCTAAGCGTAGAAGATAGGCGTATTGGCAAGGATGCGCCGATCCTGCTATTTAACATGAGGGATAGTGCACCTTTCATGGACCGTATAGTGACCTTCCAATTGAGTCCGATGTTCGAGCATGCTCTTGCCCGCCAAGAACTTCAGAGTATTACGGGGCTGGTACACGTGCTAAATATGTATCGCCTGCGCAAGAACAACATGTCTCAAACGAGATGCATTGAGATAGTCAGGGACATTTCGAATGTCCTGAAGTCACTGGAAGTCATCATTGAGGAACTACTACGACTGGGGCTTCGCGATCCTGCTAATTTCTATGCGTATCAAGACATCGTTTGGTGCGGGCACAAACTCTTTTCTCGGGAAATTTCTAGCGAGGTGCAAGGTGACCTCACTGCCGAGCTTGAGCGGTTTGTTTTCGTGGTTCAGTCGCACCTGAACAGCGTGCTGTCTAAATTCCACCAGTTCTTGCGCTGTAATAGCTTCAACGAAGTGGACCTTATTTCGCTGGAGATTTTTGATACTCGAAAGAAATTACGCAATGCACACAAAAGCCTGCCCGCCGTGAATTCGGACGTTGCCGATCACGCTCAGGTTATTGCAGGCTACCCACGTTTGTTTCAGGCCGTCCAAAGCGCAGTTGTGCTGAAAAACATTGCAGAGTTAAATTTAGAAGAGTCAATGTGCCCTACTAGCGAGGCGCAAGTGCGTGCTGCAAGGCTCGAGAAAATCAAGACCCATTTTGAAACCAAGCCGGCCCAGTCAGGAGACATGATGTCAATCACAAGCAGCTCGTTTGTAAGAGAACTGTTTGTAGCGACGGTGTTAGCTTTCGAGTCGACATTCCCAAAGGATTCCGTGTCTGTTCAGTGGAAGGAAATTTGTTCTCTTCTGCTTCAGTTTGCGGATAGTGCGCAAACTTTTGATGCCAGCGCTCAAACCAAATTGCTGCATGCTTTGCGAACTTCCGAGGATAACACGTTTGTGACGCTAGTTGATGTACTCGTAGTTCCGTTGGTGACGACTATGAGTATGAAAGACAAAGGGCAACATAGTGGACGCTGCTCAAGTGTGATTGGGGAGAGCATGATGCTTTTGGGTTTGTGGCGATTCGCGCTACTTCTCCCGTCCTCACCAGTGGATCCTGTTACGAAGCCGTTGGTCAAGAAGGAAAATTTGCTTAACCGCTTGGCAATGCTCACAATGCAGGATGCTGTAAGCTCTTCGATTCGCCGACTTAATCCTTCGCCGGCGTCATCGTATTTTGCTGAAAATGATACTCGCTTGTTGCGTGAATTGTCGACCCAGATAATGGAAGTTTCTACTCGTGCTATCAAGCGATATCATCCGATCAAGCTGCGCAGTGATGCTGCAATGATGGACTCGGAGGACTTCAGAGTGCAACCTGTGGCAGCCTCTGTATTTGGTGAGCTCTTCCGTGATCTGCTGCGCTTTAACGCTACGATGATGTCAGCTGAGAAAATGCTGGCATTGCTTTCCACCGCTCGATCACCAAAGTCCTCGCAACAGCGGAAACGCGAGCTCTTGCGTGAACTTAATATGCTCCAACAAACATCAGAAAGCTTCCTTGCTCAAATGTCGAAAAAGTTTGGTGAGTGCTTTCGCGATATATTGGAACCTGTTGCAGCTGCTATTTACTGCGTAAAGGAAGGTATTGCACTCGTAACATGGTCATTATATGAGAGCCTTAAGGATGCCTCGCTCAAAAAGCAGCAGAAAGAGGCTTTAGCTCTCTCTCTCGTGCAGTTCCCTTCTACCTTGACCGTTAAAACGGCGGGTCAATCTTGGCGCGGAATTCAGTTGATGCTGCAAATTGTGGGGACATCTGCCACGTCAATTCTGTTCGGTGCGAATGTAACCAACAAACGCAAGGTTGAAGTGGCTTTGCTGGACGTGGCATTGTCAAAAATGGAGCTTCTTTTTGTGACACTCTGACAACTGCACGTAAGAATCGCGCGCTATACTTAACGGCGGTCGAGACTGCCCTTGATAGCAGCAAGACGCTGTTTGATCTGTTCCTGGCGAAGTGGCTGGAACAGAAAGAACGCGAGGAGCAGAAACGGAAAGAGGAAGAAGAATTGTTTAAGTATAAGGTCCGTCAGTTGGATGTGGAAACAGAGGAAGAGCTGCAGGAGAAAGAGTATCGCGAGCAGTTCCCAGATTACAGCCATGATTTTCAAGCATTTTTGAGCCCAGATCAAGCAGCAGTAGCTGCTGAGAAATTGGGTCTGTCGGCACCGGCAGAAATGGATTTGCTGATCACGGACACCATCATGCAGCGGTTGTGTGAAACGCACGTGAAGCTGTACGCAGAGACCGCGAACTCTGAAATCACAATCACCAAGAGTGAAATTGTGGACGCATTTTCGAGGGCGTTTTCGCTAGCGCTTAAGCTGCGCAAGTCATTGAACGCGATGGCTTCTACCGCCATTGAGAATGCCGTGGCATCATCAGGAGTCTTGGCTGCCTCGCTTGTTCAAACTCGCCTTGGTAGTACCGTTGGATCGAAAAAGAATGTTGTGCCGTCGATTCATGCAATAAACAGTGACTACATTCGAGGTATCGACTTCCATCGTGACCCACTGGTCAAGGAAGTCGTTCTTGTCGCAGAACCGTTGCAGCGCTTGATGGTCAAGGTTCAGTCACTTTTGGCTCAATGGCCCGATCATGCTATTCTACAGCAAATTGTGCTCGTTGCCGATCGTATCCGCAACTTCGAGATCAGCTCTCCGCTGGTTCGCACGCTCACTGGGGTAGAACTATTGCTTCGTAAGGCTCAGGAGTGGGAGATGTATGCGGCACGGGCTTACTCGATAAGTGATGAACTAAGCGCTCTGTCAGCCTTGGTCACGCGGTGGCGAAAGCTGGAGCTGTACTCGTGGCCCCATCTACTTTATGTGAAGGAAAAACAGCACCGTTTCATGGCACAGAAGACGTGGATTAGCATGTACTCTCTGCTTACGGCTCAGTTTGAATCGGACGCTGACATCTTGCGTGATATTGATACTAGCAGAAGGAATCCACAAAATGTGCAGTGGCTTCACCTGAACCGCCTGTCGCTGTGGGTTTTTACACTGGTCAACTGTAAAGTTGGCATCTCGGCACTGAGCGCTGCCGCACGAGAGAGCCAAGCTAGGCAGCGTGAGTTCATGACCCGATTATTCGAAACATTGGATGCTTATATTCGTTCATGTCCTATCGGCCAATACGAAACTCGCCTACGTGTGGTGTATTCGTTCTGCTCACAGCTGTTCATGGAGCTTTGGAGCCCCTCCGAGCGCCAGAGAAAATCGACCAACTTTGATACAATGCCTTTGAAACATGCGCTGGCAAATATGCTGTACCATTTGTACCGGTACTACGGGCAACATTTGGGATACTTGGAGCGTCAGTGGAGTGGTCTTAAGGCGCCGATTCAGCGTAAATTGGTGGAGTTTGTCAAAATCTGCCGGTGGGATGAACAAACGTATTACTCGCTTGCAGAATCTGCGGAAAAGTCGCACCGCAAACTAATGAAGTTTGTACGTGATTACGATTCTGTGCTGAATGCGTCCATGCAATCCGTTATTGATGCTTCAACGGACAGTGGGATTACGAAGGAATGCGGTTTTGTTGGAATTCGCTCAACAAAGACAGAGCTTGCAGGTCTTAGCGACGATGTTGTGGTCCCAATGGATGTTCAGCAGGAAAAGGATCAGGATGCTAAGGAGGCTTTTTTAAGTGGAGAGACTACCGAGGGTGCGAAAATCTAAGACCAAGGTGCTGGTGGAGGAGGAACCACAGGATTTCGAGAGGCCACCCGTGTTGCGATTAATGTATACAAGCTCACCTTATATCGTATCAAGCGAAGATGGTTTGTCGCTTCCAATGTCTACGTATGCAAAGAAACTTTCAACGCTCTCAAAGCGAATTGCGCAGTATACCCTGGAGCACATCTTATCGCAGAATCAGGTGGAGCGCCGCCAGCAGGTGCGCGCCTTGTGTGAGGATCTTTGTGAAACTATTTTCTACCGGATGTTTAAACTCCAGAAGGCAACGGGGCTGCCGAAGGGTGCAAAGAAGAAAGCATTAATTGATCTACTAAGGGAGCTGAAGACCCAGGGTATGGCATACCACCGACTGCAGTTGCCAGCTGAGCAGCAACACATTCAGCGGTTGTTTGAGTTAGACGTGCCTGATGTAGAGAACTGTCTAAATGTTGACCAATTTGATTATGCGGCGGATCCCGTGAGCTTCCCGACTGCGTGTGGCGGACAGAAAGGCAAGACCAAGCGAGGCAAAACGAAGCGCAAACAGCCCGGCTTCGTGCAGCCAGGTGAATTGTCGGAAGAAGCTTTGACGAAGAATTCACCGATGTGGCTATGGCAGCGAGCTGACGGATATTATTACCGATTTCTAGGCCAGCTGGCATCGTTGCGGTACAGCTCAGTGACAAACTTTTCGCATGATCTTTCTTCAAGCGAAATCGAGCGCATGAGTGGTTACGCGGAGAATATGCTTTATACAATGCTACAGCAGCGACAGATCCTTCACGCCGCTTCACTCAGTCATGAGAAGCTTGTTGACGGATTGACGTCGCTTAAGTTGATGAAGGAGTTCAAAACAAACTATCTCGTTTGTGGTGATACTGCTGTTGACCCCAAAATTGCTAGTGAGTGGCAAGCGTTTCAGCTTGAATCCGTCGTTGCGTTGCGCCCCTGTCTGCGTGAGCTTGAAACATATGTGGTAGAGATCCTACAGCAGTCGTCGGAGACCGCATTGGTAGTGACGGAAGCTTGTCTTCAATTCCAGCGTATTATTGAGCGATGCAATGCCATCCAGGAGTCGCTTGTTGAAAGTGCTGGGCTGACGCAGTCGCTTGGTGTGCCTGCAATTCCCTACCGTGTCGTGAACGCTAGCGAAGATGCAGGTGGTGATGCCGCTATTATGGCCTTTGCCCAACCATCAAAACGTGTATATGGTGTGTCCCCAGTCATTTCGCGAGTTCATTCGTCATCAAATGTCTCGCCAATACCTGTGGCAACTGCTGTGCTGAAGGCTAATAGTGCCCACTTTAGCGCGATTCAGTCGTTTCTGGCAAACATTGAATCAACATTTGGGACCGTGACGATACCGACTTGCTTTGATGAGTTTCTCGTTGAGTACGCTGGCATCATTCGCGTTGATAGCAAGTTTAAGCAGACACTAAGTGGAAGTAGTGCTAGCTCGCTCTTGTCAAGTGCTAACCGTCAAGTATACGAGCGTGAAAGCGCGCAATCGATGGCAACATTTAGTGAAAAGTACGACAAGCTTGTTGAGACTGTGCTGGTGTCAATTCAAGATCTGACGAAGATATCGAAAGAAACGGAATCAACGCCCACTCAAAATGCTGAACAGGACGCAGAAAACGAGGCGCAGTCACTTCAAAGTCAGCTAGCCACGTTGTCTATGATGGTGAAGGACTCGCGCGTAAGTCTCATCGCATCGCTGCTTGCCAATCTACTGGACTTGTTGCAGCATCAGTACGATCAGCTTGTTAGCTTTTCGTCGGAGGAGTGGAAGCGGGTGTTTACTACATCACTAACGCTTCTGGAACGCTTTGAGCCGGCCCTGGTCGATGTGCGTGGTATTAGCCGACAACTGCTTGTCGACTTCCTAGTGGCACACAAGAGTGTGATGAAACTCGAGTACGTTCTCATACGAATCTTTCGGAACCTGTTCCAGCACGGCTTTTGCCGAACGAACGAGGGGAAGAACGATGAAGAGGGTGACGGAGGCTCTGGAAAGATGCAGTTCCAGGACGATGTGGAAGGAACTGGCATGGGCGAGGGTGAAGGAAAGAAGGACGTAAGTCACGAAATCGAGGACGAAGAGCAACTTTTGGGTTTAAAGGGAGAACAGCAGGAGGAACCAAAACCATCAGCTGACGAGCAACCTGAAGATACGGGCCTAGAAATGCAAAATGACTTTGAAGGTGCAATGCAGGACGTCCCTGAAGACGAAATAGAGGAAGACCAGGACGATAATGAAGACGAAGAAGAACTTGACCGTGAAATGGGCGAGTTTGACCAAGACGATGAGAATGTAGTGGACGAAAAGATGTGGGGTGAGGACTCGGACGACGATGAAGATAACATTGACAAGGAGAAGGAGAAGTTTGAAGAAGACTCAAAGGTGAAAGGCGAAGCACTAGAAGACGAAGTGCGCGGCAAGGAAGGTGACGAGGAAAGTAAGGACGACTCAAACACGAAGGAAGAGGACAAGCAGAAGCCGCCGCTTGATGAGTCGGATGATAAGGGTGCTAATCATGATGATGTTGATGGCGATGATGGCGAAGACGAGAAGATGGAAAATCAGGTCAACGACGACTTTGAGGACAAATACGAAGACCATCACGATGTCGACCCAACAGAGCAAGAGGATGGCCATGGAGAGGAAGAAGCAATGGAGGAGCATGAGGACAATTTTCCGGAAGATATGCAAATTGACAATGACGATGAAGAGGGCGACGACAGTGGTGACGCCGACGGGTGCGAACCTGATGATGAAAAGATGGACGAAATGGCTGACGATGGTGCAAATGGAGAAGAAATCGGTGGTGATGAGGAAGACGAGGACGCCGAAGGAGATAAGGAAGATGAGCAGCTAGACAATGCGGTTCAGCTAGGAGGCGGCGGTCTTGAAGATGACCTAGACGCTACTGAGGAGGAAATCAATGAAGATGCAGAAGAACTGCCTGATGCTCCTGATAGTGCTGAGGAAGAACAAGCAGCTTCCAGTGTTGCTGGTACTCAATCGAAAAATGGCCAGGATGAACTAGAAGCGGAGGAGCGGGAGGCAGAGGACCAGAAAATGGAAGACACCAATGCGCCGGAACAGGAACAGAGTAACGACGACAGCAGCTGTAGCCGTGCTCAAAAACAGTCCAGCAATAATCTTCAGGATTCTAAGCAGGAATGGAAGCCACAGTCGCAGGTCGATAAAAACCTGCATCAAGAAATTCCTCGCAAGACTCGTCGCGACCGTCGTGAGCCGAATCCTTACCGGAATGCCCAGGAGGTGCAGGAGCACTGGAAAAAGCGTGTGGAGATGGTTGATCGCACAGAGGAGGAGAAGGAGGCAAATGACAACCGCTCCCCGAAGCAGGAGAAGGCAAATGAAATGACAGCAGCGGAGTTTGTTGATGATGACGAGGAAATGGTGGACGTAGAACACGCACTGGCTGCTGCCGATGAGAACCAAATAATGAATCAGCCCCGATCTGAAGAGGAGAAGAACGATGCTGTCGAGAAAGAGGAGATGAACCCTAGTGCTGAAGCGGTGGCTTTAGAATCTGACGAAGAGAAGATGAAAGAAGCAATCGATGAGCACGAGAGAACGAGTACGCCTAAGCCTGTAAAGCAGGAGCCCAAGCCTGACTTGGATGCAGCCAATGATAACGCGACAAAGCAGGAGAGACTGGATGCACAAGAGGTGCAGCCGGAGAGTTCCACCGACGATGGAGACCACAAGCTTCTGAACGAGGAAGAGGAGCACGCGCTTCCATCGAGATTGCGAGACTTAGACTTGACCAGCACTACGAATGACCAACAAGAAGGCGATGAGACGGAGGCTAGCGCGGTGACCTTGCTGTCTCCAGATGAGGCTGCTAGGTTGCGTGATGAGCTGGACTCGTTCATCGCTAAGTGGTCGTCGCAGTCGGAGCAGGAACGCGGTGCGGAGTTGTGGGCCAAGTATACTGCATTGACTGCTGGCGCGTCGCAGCGTTTGTGCGAGCAGCTCCGGTTAGTCCTGGAGCCTATTCTTCGTGCTAAGCTGGAGGGCGACTTCCGTACGGGTAAGCGCATCAACATGCGCAAAGTAATCCCATACATTGCGAGTCAGTTCCGCAAGGACAAGATCTGGCTACGACGTACACGACCGTCTAAGCGTCAGTACCAGGTAATGCTGGCGATCGACGACTCCGAGTCCATGGCGGACAACCATGCTGGTCGCTTAGCTCTGGAGGCGCTTGCCACGCTGTGCAAGGGCATGACGCAGCTTGAGGTCGGCGAGCTATCTGTTGTCAAGTTTGGTCAGGATTTAGAGCTGCTGCACGCTTTTGACATGCCTTTCACGGATGATGCTGGCAGTCGTCTCATCGGCCGTTTCGGCTTTCAGCAGAAGAAGACCAACATGGTGCAGACGTTAGACACAATCTTGCAGGTGCTCGAGACGGCTAAACAGTCATCTTTAGCTGCCAGCAGCGCAGTTGAGTTCACGCAGATCGTGTTTTTAATCTCGGATGGCCGCTTCGACTCGGATGGCCGTGTGCGTATCCGTAAACTGATCGAGATGGCTCTCGAGCGCCAGCAGCTCATCGTCTTGCTCATTGTAGATCAAGGCGCAGCCGAGAGTCGGAGCAATCAGCAGCAGACATCTATTCTGGATACGCAGAGTGTCACGTTCGACAAAGGCAAGGTGCGCATGGTGCCGTATCTGGAGAACTATCCCTTCCCGTATTATGTGCTGCTGCCTATGTCGGCGATGCTACCGGAAATCCTGTCCGACTCACTCCGTCAATGGTTTGAGATGTTACAAGCCAAGAACTGAGTCCTAAGCTCTACTTGAGCTGCAAACATGATAGACCGACGAATAGAGTCTCCAATTGGAAACTTCACACGGTGAAGAAGAGCCTTTTCTATTAACCGGTTGTGGGCATTAACAAGGACACGCGGCTAGGCTACAAAGATATTGACATGGTGTTAGAGACTTCACTCTGATGATACCCCTGTCTATCATAACATATGGGAGCAAGTGCTGTTCGTTGACAGGTGCCGCTTGATGTTTCACATACGCATCGAATTTCCAGCACCAGTCAAAACAAAAACAGAAGTTCCTGTACGAGATGCACTCTCATTACAATCGGGATGATGCACTTGCTCCGCCAGTGTTAATATGACTGGGAGACATTAGTTTGCGATACCGTAGCCGTAGTATAGCTTCAATGTATCCTGCATGTGTGTACACCACACTAATCTGACCTAAAGTGTACATAAGGTTGAAATACCCATTAATTTACATAATAATGGCAGAGCTTCATGACTTGTGCGCCGACTTTCCCCGCTGCGTCGAGTGTGGCGGCTTTGGTTTGGGGGTTGTGACGAACCCACAGAAGATCTGTACACACTGTGCTCGTGTTACAAAACTTTTCTTTGACCCGGACAGCAACAGGTTTTGCCGAGACGAAGGGTTTGTGGACATTTCACCTGGTGCGGACGGTGGTGTGCTTAAAAAGGTAAATTTTTTTGAAAATTTAGGGATTTGAATTGTTCAAATTGGGTTTTTTATATTTTGATACCACGTCTTTTTGTGTAAATTTAATGTGCATGAGAGATTATTCGCCAAGGAGAAAGCATGATTCAGAAATTGGAAGAAGGCTGTCCAACTATTGGTACGAAATTGTAGATGAGATTATAACGTGATTATGCTGACACTTTGTGGCATGATTGCTGGTTATTTTTGACAGTACATTATGTGGGGCGATTAATGGATGGATCTATTTTTGACACGACGTATTTTTGAGAAAGATTTACTTATTTTGAAATTTTTACTAACAAAAGTTGCTAATTTTACAACTTTTGTGTTGTAGACGTGATATGTTGGATGGGAAACATGTGGGCGGAACGGATGATCCGTTTGAGTTTCAGTTGGGTCGAGGTGAGATGGGATGTATTTGTTGGAGAGAAAAGAGTGATAGGGGCTCACATGGTTTTTGGATAAAAATGAATTACAGAAAAAGTGATCAAGGGATGGGATATTGGTGTGGCCACAATGATTGTGGGTGAGGTGGCACGTTTTATCATTGCTCCCGAGTATGGATACGGCCAGAAGGGGTTTGCACCGAAAGTAGAACCTGATGAGACTCTTGATTTTGAAATTGAGCTGATAAGTTTCAAGGTGCGTGTGTGCCCCTGTTCTGATGCTTTTTACGACGTGATGCTGATAGGTGGTGTCGTGCTGGTTTTTTCTATATTGAACAGGATCCCCTGCCTCGCTTTCCTACCCAAGCAGAACTCGCAGAATCCCGCAAGAAACAGAACGAAGAGGATCAGAAATTGCTGGAGGAGAACCCTCCACCTACGGTTGGTACGTATGTTAAGGAGTTTCTTTTGAGAGAAATAGCAAAATTTTATCTGCTTCCTTGGCTACACTGCGATTCCAGATGCACGCATTGAAAGCGCATTGGAACAGAAGGAGAAAGGTAATGCTCTCATCGCTAATCAAGATTACGATCAGGCACAACAATGTTACGACTCGGTATGTTTGCTAGACTTTTATTTCCGATAGCTTTGCCAGGTATACTTACGTTTATTTATTGGTCGAAGGGTTTTGTCCACATATTTTACGCAAAGGAAGAGTGGGAGAACTTTGTGTCACAAGAAGACAAGGACAAGGTCAACAAAGTAAAACTGGTGCTTTACCTTAACCGAGCACTGTGTAAGATCAAGCTGGCAAAGATTGACGATGCGCTCTGGGATTGCGACCAGGTAGGTGTTTGCTTCAAGCAAGTATCCAAGGCCGCTTTTTAATGAGTTTGTATTTGGATAGGCTATACTTCTTGATTCGAGCAACAGCAAGGGTCATTTCCGTCGGGGCCTTGTGTTTACAGAAAAACTAAAGGGCGAGTTGGAGAAGGAAAAGAAAGGCGAGTTTTGGATTGTTGACAAGGGTTTCGAGTATGCGTCAGAGGCAGAAAAAAGCTTCGACAACGCAAAGAAGCTCATTGGCGACTCCAACGATCGTAAATTGGTGCACGCACTAGCTGAACTCAAGCGAAGTCACGTACGCACTGCTTTGAATCGAAAGTTTTGGATGTTATCTTCTGATTTGTTTGTGTCTCCTCCGCGTAGATGTTGTTAAACAAGTATGCGGCCAAGTATAAAGAGGAGGAGAAGAAGTTGTACAAGGAAAAAATCTTTGATCGTTTGGAGGCCAAGAATAAAGAGCTCGAGAAGCAGGAGAAGTTAAAAGCGGAGGCCGAGGAGTTTGATGATATGCCTGCCCTTGAATAAGCTCAGATGTGCGTGCTATCCACGCCGAAGAATAATAATTTGGATCCTCAGTTTCGGTCACTCATTTCGTTAGATGCTTACATTTTACGTTTGATCTTGAGGTGCTATCGGTCAGGTCTGTTTCACCAGAGTGCATCCTACAAACCATGCTCGTCGTCGGACTCGATATCGCCGTACTGCCACAGGCAAAGACGCTGCTTCTTAGCGGATTCCTGTGCGTTAAGCAGGCCGTCAACAACAGGCTTCTGGTACAACAAGACATCGCGGAGTGCCTTGCGGTCGATGCGCAGCAGACCAGCTTCTACTAAACTTTCCGAGACGCTCTTGCCACCCGGTAGGTAAAGGGACACTTGCATGCAACCGTGGTCCTCGATGCTGTGAATACGGCAGGAAAGAGTCTTTCCCCAAGCAACTTCGCCGAGACGCATGGCAGCATCAGCTCCAAACTCCTCCGTCGCCGCCAACGGCTTGATCCAGGCGAACGTTGCTTCCTTCGCCTGAGGAGGGAACTGCAGCACGTCAGCGTCGAGTGGACGCAGACCATTGGCCGTCACAGTCGTCTCGTTACCGTAGTCAAGGAAGCGAACACGGGCAGATCCGTCCGGGTGAACATACTCAACCTTAGCTCGGTTCCAGGTGGGACCATTAGCATCATCAAAGAGCGCAGCACACACAGTGTTACGGCGCACCTCGAAGGCCTTACCAGACAATCCGTGCATACGCGTAAATGCTTTCATTTTCTCCTCCACAGCGGCGCAGTTGCGGTCGCCCACATTTTGAATGTAAAAATGGGTGCCACTGATGATCTCCGAAAGCTTCACACGCGGGATCACGTCGTCCTTCGTCTTCACCTGCTTTGTCTGGGCAGCCTTGGCCACAGCTTGAGCGTCGTACAAGGCCCAATACTTCTTCTTCTGCACTTTCGCACGCTCCTCTGCACGCTGAAGCACATTGCCCATTGCAGTGCGCTCGACACTGAAAGAATCCACCCAGGCAAGACCCTCCTCTAGCAGACGCACGCCGAAGTTGTGCTCCTCATCAGACAGAGGTTTACCACCGCCATCCGGAACCACGAACAAAGGACCGAAAGCGTTGCCACCGCGATCCATATCCTCAAATTCCACCATCACCTCACGTTGCATGACGCCGCGTTTCGTGAACAGCTTCGCCTCTTCGCCGAAAGGCTCTGCTGGTGCCACAATCACACCCATTGCTCCGTGACGGGCAGGCTGCGGGCACTTGATACCGGCAACTACGAAATTTATGAGACAGTTTTCCTTGGGGACAAAAAGCTTCAGGCGTGTGGCCGAGTAGACGTGCTCTACCACAGCACGAGTCGATCGTTCACGCTTTAGGAAAGGTAAAAACTGCTTGGCTTTCGTAGAATCGAAACACAGGTCGGTTACACGACGTTCGGTAGTAGGAGGCTCCTTTGAGGAGTGCAAATTCTTCTTCTGTGTCTGAGCCTTTGTCTCTGCCGTTACGAGATCGTCATAGTATTCGCTTTTCTCCTCTTCGGGGCGGTGACGCACCACCTCAGCCAGACCAGCGGTAACGATATCGATAGCAAGGTTTGCACCCTTTGCTTGTGGATTCTTCTTCATCGCGTTTGAAGACGGCTCGAGGAATACCGAAGCAAACAACATTGCATCACCCTGGCCAGAAGCGCTGGGTTTTTCATACTCGACCTCAACGTGCACGGTTTTTGCAATGGCACGGTGGCGCAGAAACTCTTTAGCCTCCGCAGCATACGGCGCACCCGATTCACCGCGACGAGCATTTCCAAGACGTGGTGCACGTAGCGAGCTCAGATAAATACGCTTTTCCTGCTCAGCTGGAGTCGCTGCATCAGGAACATAGACAACGAGGCAGTCACCGCTAATGACTTCCACCACCGTACCGGTCAGATGCTTGGGAGAATGCAGCACGGGTGCCTCATATTCCCGCCACACACGCAATTTTGTATGCTTTGCCTCCTTCTCCGCTGCGCGCATTGCAGCACGTGCTGAAGCACTCGTGAACGACGAGCTCCAGTCTGCCATCCAACCTAGTCCGTTCTTTAGCAGTTCCACACTGATATTGTTACCCGATGGGTGCACCACACTGCCAAACAAATTGCCATACTTGTCCACACCCTCTAGCTTGAGCTCCACGTCACGATGGAGCAGTCGCACCTCGGTGAAATGCTTAGCTTCTCGCGCATGAGGTGCTGGACCCGTCAGAGTCGACGACGACGTCGCATTCACAGCATTAGCTTTTCCTCCTTCTGCAGTAGCAGCAGCAGCAGCATTCCCTGGCTGATTAACTCGTGGACATTGCACTCCAGCCAGTCCAAAATTGACTAATTGCAACGAAGGCTTTAAGATCACTCGAAGAGATGCTCCATCTCTCACTGACTCGACAACAGCTTGAACTAATTTTCCCTTGTATTGTTCCAATAATGTCGCTCCATCAGCCCCAAGCCACTGAACAGTCGCATTCGACTCTATGTCCGCATCGGCATACATGCCTTTTTTCTCGTCCATGGCCACTTGTTCTTGCTGCACCATTTTATCATAATCTCCACATACACCATCACGTGATTGGTCGAGCGTTTTTACCTTCGCGTAACCTGTTCGTGCTTGAATCACACACAGATTCTCTTCAACGCCTCGACTGTTTATTGGCAGCCATACAGAGCCAAAATCACGACTAATACTCGAGATACGGTACTCAACTTGAAATCGAACGACTTTTCCCACACATAATTTGCGTAAATGTTCCCGACTGGCCCAAGCATATGGTTCATTAATTTGTTCAGGAGAACGTGCAAGACGTGGGGCTTGTAATGATGAAAGCGTAAGCATTAATTCGGGTGGAGGACCATTCGTAGCTGTACCCATAAGCACAAGTGTATCGCCTGATAGAACAGCCTTGACAGTAGCGTGACCTGAAGCCATCCCTGTGAAATGTGATACAAGAAAACTCACTTGCTACTTTAAGACCAATTTGAATTATGAAGTTATGCCACGTATGTGACGGAAGATTCGTGTGGTAGACATGAGATGGCTACCAAGAGAAATGACTTTGTAGATATAGAAACAACAAAATTCTGAAAATTTACAAAATACGAGCATTTTGTTAATTGTCAGAATTTTGTTGTTTCTAAAATTATATACGGATCTTGTACCAATAGTCAGTTTTGCATATGAATATAAAGTATTTTTTTGTCGAATTAACGAAAAATGACCTATTTTCAACCGTCATGACTAAAAAAAATGTGTCTTTTTGCTGACGGTAAAATAAATGCTAATTTGGCACTCGTAGCATTTATTTCGATACTATTTGCAATCTTTGTTTCTCAATTACCACAATTTGACAACATATGGTAAGGCCAGCCAATTACGACACACTCTCACTAAATACCACCAATCATCGAGCAGTAAAACCGTCAGAGTGATGGTCTCCACTTCCTGTCCGCTCGCTCACAAGAAAATAAAAAACGACGGAAAAGTGCGCACTCTTAAGAAGACGCATACAAAAACCAAAAGAAAGAAGACGGTAAGATCTCCCGTCCTGCCTTCATCGTAGAGTCTTTGACGCTTGATATTTTGATTCAAGCTCGAGTTGTAGCGGCTGCTTGCTGTTTATTGTAATTGGTACGTGACACGCCCGCCCGCTCTCTGTTTTTTTATGATTTTTATATTTTAATATTATTAAATTTTAAATTTTAATATTTTTATAATCTGATATTCTCTATAAATTTATACATTTGTTTTGAATAAAATTCAACAGACCATTTCAAAACAACGGGAAGTGAATGGACACTTCGTCGTCCACTAGTCGTATCTCTTATTCTTCAAACTCCACGCCATTGAAAAAACGTCGAGCAACAAGTACAGAAAGAGAAAACCAAGGAAGTTTATTACCACTTGAAGACGGGATATCGATTAAAAAAGAGTCGGAGAAGAAGAGAGACAGTTTTCCATTGCTGCTGTGTGCAACTGGGGCTGAGAATCCCATTCTGGCTGCACTGGGAGGGACACCACGCTCGCAGCTCGTTGCTAAGACCGGTTCTTTGGACTCAAAGCCGCTGAATTTGTCCCAGTGCATTGCTGAAACGTCTATGAATCGTGTCAAGGAAGAGAAAAAGATGGCGAGTCATGCTGCTGTTGCTGATATTGCTGTGGTGGAGGAAGAGTGCAAAGTTCATAGCTTGAACTATCAGCATAAAGAAGATTTACGACCTGTTATCACACAAGAACAGAAACAATCGTATGCTGTGTCTTTTGTCAAGACGGAGAGTAGTTTTGTTGCTGCTTCTTTTGGTATGGTGCATTGGTCATTTCTCGTAGTAAAGTTAGCTGGAAACTGATGGTTGTATTGTATATGTGTGTGTGTTGTTTTTACTTGATGTATTACCAGTTGGTAAGAGAAAACGAGCAGACGAAAGTATAGAGGCTGAGACGACGGATTTCGTGGCTTACGCGAGAGAACATATTCATAGTCAAGAAGTAGGAGAAGAGGGATTTTCGATCGATCCCTCCGAACGCGCGGTGGAGCATCGTGCTAGCAAAGCGGTGCGTCGTGAAATTTTGATCGCATCACCAGCGGCGAATGACGAGGACGATTGGGAAGGCAACAGACCGCTTGAAGTCAGAATGAACGAGGTCGAACCGGTGCTAACACCATCGGAGCACTTTGACCTGCAGCCTATTGACATCATTTTACACGTGTTCTCCTTCCTGGTCACTGCAAAAGACTTGCAAAGTATGGCACAGGTGTCGAAGAAGTGGAAAGAGCTGACAAGCCGACGATCGTTGTATCGGTCACTTCCGAGTGTAACACCTGAAGGATCGGTGAACTGGATTAATTTTAAGAATCTGGGGATTAAGAACAAGGGGACCGAGGGAACCTGTATTAAATGCTGTCAGCGCTCCACAGGCAAGATCTTGGCGATAAAAAAGGCGAGAGTGTTTCCCAAGGTAAATGTGTTTGTAACGACGAATATTAATATGACAGAAGCACTGACAATTCGCTATTGTGCTTTGTCCGTACGATGATAGGGAGAAGGGGTACCGTATTACATGCTCAGAGAGTTAGCTGTTCTGAAGGGTATCAAGCACGATCACATTGCGTCCCTTGAACTCATCAGCCTTGCTAAAGACGAGCTTCATGTGTTTTTCCCTTACGTGGACAAAACTTTACATGAAGTTATTAACCCAACGGGAGACCCTACCGGTGGCCGTGTGTTGCCAGAAAGTGTGGTGAGTAAAACGCGGCTTTGTCGCCTTTTGTCACCTTTTTATGAAGCACGCAGGTTTTCTTATCTTGCTATGTTTTCTCGACAGATTCGCAAGCTTCTCCACCAACTTCTAGATGCGATCGCATACTGCCACCGCCGTGGAGTCCTACATCGTAATCTCAAACCAAAGCATTTGTTAATCAAGACATCTGATACCGCAAATCTTAGTAAGATGTCATAATGACTTCACATATTTTTATGTGCGTACACTAACGCACTAAAAATGTGTCTCTTGCATCTAGGTGACGCAATACTGCAGATCTCTGACTTTGCGCTGGTCCGGGCGACCGGAATTCCACGCCGAACTTACACGATGGAAGTAGTTACATTGTGGTACCGCCCCCCAGAAATCTTGATGGGAGTGCGCGGCTACTCTTCGGCTGTTGACATTTGGTCTATTGGCTGCATCTTCGCTGAGATGGCCCAGGGCAAACCGCTTTTTACAGGCATATCTGAGATTGACCAGCTATTCCAAATATTTAGCAAGTTGTCGACACCAACGTCGGAGACGTGGCCAGGGTTCTCGTCCTTGCCAAATTACCACTTCGAGTTTCCGCATTGGAAGCGCCGACCCTTAAATCGTCTGTTCCCAAGAATCTCGAATCTTGGCATCGACTTGCTGACGAAGCTCCTCGTATACAATCCCGACCAGCGAATTTCAGCCGAAGACGCGCTTCGCCACCCGTATTTCTCAAACGAGGCTCCTGGCTTCTCATCGCTCACACCAAAAATTCCAATGGACCAGATGTGCTACACAATGAGTCGAGCACGAGTTGGCCCTACGCCAGAGCATGTGGCGTTGTTCCACGCGTACTTGCGTCAAACAGAACTGGAGTCGTGGAAGGAAATTAAATACTTGAGGTACGTGACAGAAGATGGAGTAACGAGATTATGATGTGTAAAAGTACTAATATTTGCTTCAATGTCGATGGTTTTGCCATGTAGCCGGCAGAAAACCCTTCGACCAGCGCATCGGTCGATGCTTGTCGATTGGTTGATTGAAGGTATGCTCTTATTGCGTCGCCATGTGCGTGTAAAAGGCGGCTGATACGTTTAACTTTACGTTTGTACACTTTAGTCGTGGACGTGTTTGAGATGTGCCTGAGAACTGCGTTTTTGGCGGTTAATTACACCGACCGGTATTTGGACATCGTTATGGTGAAAAAGACGCAGTTCCAACTGCTTGGAGCAACTTGTTTGCACGTTGCATCCAAGTGCGAGGATGTATCGTATATTGGTGTGGAAGATCTCGCTATGTGTGCTGACAACGTGTACACGTCCGTGGAGGTGTTGGAAATGGAAGAAAAACTGCTGAACACTCTTAACTTTACACTCTCGGTACCCACTGGTAGGTTTTCGGGATCGTTGACTTGGTGGGTTGTTCTACACTAACCTGTGTGCATATTCTTGTGTTGTGTGTAGCCTTGGATTTCCTGAATATTTACGAGCGCATGATTCCGCCTGTTCAGAAAAAGACAACTATGCTGGCACACTACTTGCTCGAGCTGGCGCTGCAAGAGTATCAGTTCTTGAAGTATTTGCCGTCGGTAGTCGCTGCATGCTGCCTCTCGATGGCAATGTACACAATGGATGGGTTTCCAATGGTAAGCTGCTTGATGCGTCTGACTTGCTTTGCGTTGTGCTAATGTGTCATGGTTTTACTTTTAGACCAAGGAGCTGGTAGATGCTTGTCAGTACAGCTGGTCAGACTTGAAAGAGTGTATGAGGGAGCTTCAGACGCTGTACTCTAATTCACCGTCAAACAATTTGGCGGTGATTAAGAAGCGCTACTCGAAGGCTGAGCGGTGCCAGGTGGCGAATGCACTTCCGCCAACTTCGTTTAGCATGGCATTTTAGTTCGTTTAGTCTGTATTTGTGGGCTACATATTTAGAGCTTCGGTCGCCTGGTCATAGGTGAGTGGACACTTACTTTACTGGCATCTCAGGAATGTCCAGACAGCAATATATTGCTTGCTAATCTTCAGACAGCGAGGAAACAAAACAACGTAAGAAAGGCAGAAATACAAGCGAGCACTTCATGGGCATCGAGTGGGTTTCAAAAATGTTGCAAATAGAGAGCCACGGCGTAAATTACGTAGATAGCTAAAGGCGTTCACAAAGGCACTTCATCAAGCATACTTTCACATGGTGATCTTCTCATCTTCATTGTTAATGTCACTGTCAACACCTTCGGTTGAGGTAGCATTTGACTCATCCTTGTCAGCCACTTCGGTGTCAGAATCCACGCCAGCTTTTTCCTCAACCCCGACAGACTGGAAAAGCATCTGACGCAACTTTGCTTCGAGGTCATTCGCAATTTTAGGATGTTCCTGTAGAAAAACCTTGGCCTTCGCCTTTCCTTGAGCAATTGGTTCTGCAAGGCCGAGTGCAATGTACAATGTTAGCAGCAGCAAAAAATTGAGGTCCAAAACAGTCGCCAAGTCTTACCATCGCTCCCAGCGAGACTATACCACGCGCCCGAGCGCTTCAACAGGCCATGCTGGACACCCAACTCAAGCTGTACAATCAACGAGTGTAAGCCGTCTAGTAGCATTCACATTAACCAAGAAACATAAACCTGTCCATACCAGCTCCGACTGGCGATCGATACCGTGCCCGAACATCATGTCAAAGTTTGCAACCTTGAAAGGCGACGCCAGCTTGTTCTTGGCCACCTTAACCACCGTCTCATTACCGACCACCTGGTCACCTTCCTTGATTGCCGTCTTGCGGCGGATATCCAGCCGCACTGACGCGTAGTAGCGCAACGCCGTGCCACCCGACGTCACCTCAGGAGATCCAAAGATAATGCCTACTTTCTGTCGAATCTGGTTCAGGAAAATAATAGTGCAGTTGGATTTAGAAAGTGATCCAGTCAGCTTTCGTAGAGCTTGACTCATGAGCCGTGCTTGCAAAGCAATTTGTTGATCTCCCATCTCACCCTCCAGCTCCGCTCGTGGCACAAGTGCCGCAACACTGTCAAGCACAACAAGATCCACTGCTCCAGATCGAATAAGTGTATCAGCAATCTCCAGCGCTTCTTCACCAGAGTCCGGCTGGGAGACGTATAAAGCATCAATATCAACACCCAAAGCTTTCGCGTAATGGGCATCAATTGCATGCTCTGCGTCGATAAAGGCACAAACTCCATTTTCTGTTTTTTGAGCTTGAGCAATACAACTCAGTGCTAATGTCGTCTTTCCTGAGCTCTCAGGGCCGTAAATCTCCACGACACGTCTACCAAAAAATCATCAAAATGTCAAAATTGTAGTCCATCTTTCACCACGTTGCAGCAGTCACCGACCCTCTTGGAATGCCTCCTACTCCCAAAGCCAAATCTAAAGACAAGGATCCAGATGAAATTACTTCCACGCGCTCTGCAATCTTCCTACAGTAGTAAATTTATAGCAACCACCCAATCATAAAAAATGTATCAACTTTTGTCGTAAGTGCTTGTAACTTTTGACAGAAACTCCGTACGTTGATCCCAATTGCATGACAGCGCCTTTTCCAAAGCTGCTTTCAATTTGACGGATCGCCATCGTCAGCGCTGTGCTGCGATCTGTTCAAAACCAATTGTCAATAATATTTTGACACTTATTATTGACATCACCTTATAGAGGTCATACCGGAGCCACTAGCAACGCTTACGTAACCAGATTTTGCAGATGAGCGCTTAAAGCGCACACACGACAAATAAGGTGAAGAAAGAGCCGCTGTCGCCGGTGTAAGACGCTCTTTTAGCGCGAAAAGACGCGAGTTACGTCGCAGCATATTATTGACGGGTAGTAAAAGTCGTCGCGATGTCACTAAACTGAAATGCTTAATGTACCCAATTCTTTGTTCTGTCACTAACTAGAAATTGCCCAAATTATTACGTTTGAAAGGATGACGTCTCAATTCCGACGTAATTGTCATGGAGGTGTAGCCATGTCCCTGGAAATGCGTTCACCTCGTGAACTATTGGCACGAATTGGTCTCAGTGGGAAGGAAGTGGTAAAAATTATTAAATCGCGGGGATGGGACATCGTCGAACCGCATGGATTACAGCAGCAGAAATTATATTACATTCCAGGGGTCATACAAAAAACAACACAAGGATATGAACCACTTCAAAATAAAGAATATTTCGTAGGGGAGGGTGAACTGTACGCTTTTATTCTTCAAGAGGGAGGATTACAATACTTGCTACCAGACGAAGAATTATCAGGCGACTCAGACATGAAAACATCCCGATGTAACGAAACAATTGCATCGTCCATCGAAGCTGATGACGAAAGTGACGTTAATAGTCACAAATTACATTTCGAATCGTCGGATCGACGAAAATGGAAACGACGTAAAAAACTGTCAACGGCAAGAAGTAAATCAGTTGATAATGTGACGAATACGTCTTTACATTTGAAAAAAGGACGAAAAAAAGAAGAGAAAAGTGACACAAGTGCAGAGGATAAAGTAGAAGATGAGCCAACGGATCCGATTCGAATCTGTAGACGAACTAACGCTGAACTAGCTTTACATGCGGGAATTGGACAGCAAAAGGAATTTATTACATATCAGAATTCATTAAACGCACGAGGATGGAGAGCACAATTACTACAAGATATTGATGTGCATTTACTGCGAGCGACTGCTGTAGTATCTCGTAATCAACGAGCACGAAAAAGTTGTATGGAAAAGAAGAAGAAAAGTACTCGATTAACCCAAGAGATTGGTCCACACGTTATAGATGCTGCTGAGATGATAGAGGAAATAAATGAATTGATGAACAGTATACGTGCCTTGCAAGACGATCTGTCGTCGATAATTGAAGCGATGATTTCGAATGGAGAGCAACGGATGATTCCAGATCGGATTGATGTTGTTGGTCGGATCGGAATCCCAGGGTTCGTGTCCACGGGTCGAGACAATTTAGTGCTGATGCGGGATATTGAGCGCTATCTTCTTCTCGTTGTTGCTGCTGTGCGTCGATACCAACAAACGAGGAGAACAATTTGTACCAGTGACTCGACGATTTGGTCATCTCTACCACCTAACCGAGCTGTTAAACGCGAGGAACTACGGGCACTGCAGCTAGGCATTGAAGAGTCCAAAAGAGAACTGCTCGAGTTGGCAGCCATGGTCGCCGCGGACGTCACCATGTCGTGCCAGGATGCTGCACAGGATTCTACACTGGAAAACACGACTTCAAACACTTCTCACAAGGTTTTCCAGTCGACTTTGTTGGGGTCGTCTCAGTGTACTTCAAAAACCGTACGTGCATATACCTCTGGCACATGAAGTCTGCTTAAATTTACTGCGTTGGCTCGCTTGAGCTCATGATTTAAATCGTTGTCTGTGCAGACGGACTGCGACGCAGAGGTAGACACCGACCACAACAAGTCATCTAGCCACCAGAATTTGGCATCCCCTCGACTTGAGGGAGGTCTGTGGTTTGTATAAAGGCCGAATCTTGTGCAACTAGATCAATTTTTCCTTTATGTCTGGGCATCAGGAAATAGAGTAGACTATACATCCTGCCACGATATCTGCAAAGCGCATACACAAATTTCGGGCTAATTGCCATTGCATCCTGTCCCTAAGCAGCAGAGCAAATTTTTTGTCTTAGGAAACGATGTCGGACGAGCATTCCAGCCAAATTATGGAGCTACGTATGATTATGTGCTGCCCGTTATGCGCGCGATGCAGCAACTATCCAACACGAAGTGACTTTTGATAAGAAGACCTACTCTTGTGCTTCAATGGCTTCTAATGCACATGGATTCTCGTACAGCTACAGTACCGAAAGGTGGCAGTTCATGATTGAAGCGACAGCAATTTGGCTCGCGTATGTTGTGATTGCCTCAGTCGGTACAGATTAGCTCAATCTTTTGGAGCAAATACGTCTGCATCACCATAACAAAGTGACGTGTTCATGAAGATACTTGGACTTCAGCAGCTTATTTAGAGCGAGCTGAACATCTCTAGGTAGTTCTGGTTTCATCGTCTTTGTCTAGCACATCACTTTGGTGATAATTCATATCTTGAATGCGCGAAGCAAGAACTTCCTGTGCGAAATCTTTTATCTTCACGAAAGTGACGATGGGGTGGCCGACACCCGATAACACCTTGCATCGTCAGCTACAAGTCGTGCAAAAGATGCCTCTGGGTTGATTATGAATCGCATTTTTTTCAACTTTTTCTTTCGCTATTGTTGTCGTCGAATGGAAATTTATTTTTCATTGGATTTTTATGCTGCAGTTGTCTTCATTTTCCTTGCTGTAGAAGGGTACCAATAAGTGTGGGCGATATTTATCCCTCAGCCTTTTGATAACCAGCCCACACCAAATGGTCAGAATGCCATCCCGAAACCTTTCATTGAAAATGCGACGGTTTTTATGAATTCTGGAGTTTCTAGTTTAGTGTTTCTAAATCTATTGCTGCTGCTGCTAGTGCTGCTTGCTGTTAATGCTTCTAGACGACAGGTTCGAGCAGTGTGGCATTTTGTTATATCCGATATTGCCGTAAACTTAAAGTTTGTAAACGCATTACAAGAAAAGAATCATAACTATATTTATGCCGCCCTAAACTTCATTCTCTCTGTACATTGTCTCATTGGCACATTGTTGTATTTCCGGAAGAAAAAAACTAGCTGCAAAGGTTGTGCAAGATGTAAGATCGGACCGTAACTGATGGTCAGATGACCGGTTCGGTCGCCCATTATAAAGATGCCACTAGGAGTCTGCGACGGACAGCTATTAGTACAAGATAGTCCAACTAAATGATCACCTACTCTTGTTAGCCATATCCTCGCTTAAGGGTTATGAGCCCAACAGCTTTTACCGTTGCCACGGACGCAGTTCGAGTGCGACTACAGGCCAAAAAACAGTCTCGAAAGGGATGACAGTCTGAAAGGCGACACCAAAGAGATTAAGACGGCGGAGGAGCCGAAGGACACGCAAGACAAGCTGCTAGGGTCTTTTCACGGAGCTTGCACAGCGCATGAAGAGCCTAAAAGCGTCGCAAGAGCGATAATAAGATATGGAGCGGCAAAAGGTAATGTGGTCGGCGTGTTCGGATCGTTAATGGGGCAAGGAAAGGCGATGCATCGCCAAGATCTGAGGTGACACCGCTACTATGGTAAAGTCGATTAGAGAGCTTCGGCTAAGTCCGTTTTATTGTTTGTTCGATAACTCCGGAGCCGAGTTATCAAGATTTTTCACGCCAATGGTCGGATCCCCTTCCCATAACGGTCGGATCCCTTTCCCATAACGGTCGAATCCCTTTTTCATAATGGTCGGATCTCTGCCCACTATTGAGTCACTTACCAAAACACTTAAGCTCAAAATGGGTAGTGTGGCAAATGACCGTTATTAATATCGAGAAATGCGTCCGCGTAGTCCGGTCAAGTCTGAAGTGGTCGGATCGCGATCCTGCAGAGGACTTCTTTTTTCAAGAATTTTCGTTATAAATAGACTGTATAATGGGACACCCTCCGACTATACTGATTACAGTATAGTCTACTTTCACTGATTACAGTGAAAGCAGGTGCCTCAATTACCTCTCTTACACAAGAGGCAGAGGAAGCTTTACTTCTAAACGATACGCTTAGAAGTAGAGGAAAAGAAAAACTGTATTTACTATAGTTAACTATCTTAATAAAACTAATCTGTTATAACCTATGTTAACTATATTAAACTACAACTATGTATGTTGACAACGTGCCCTCCACTCATTGCGCGCGTCCATCGATCATTGGTCAGCGCGTTGGTTGATATGATGGCCCATATCAACCAATAAGAGGGCATCTCCAACTTCAAGGAGATCTAGGAACAATATTATAGGAAAAGGTAATATTGTCAAAATATTATTAGTTATAATATTTTATGACACTTCATATAAGTGTCAATATCATGTAACGGGCTCACCCCGTTACAGACTGGGCAAAGGTGAATGGTGGATTTGCTCGCAGTTTGCTACCGAATAAATATAATTACGATCCAAGGCCTATTTAAACGCGATCTGCGTGATCACGATTCGCGATGTTGATGACCGTGTTGTCGAAATGGAAGATACGCGAATATCTATATACAATGGATGATTGCGTAATCTACGATTTAGCATGGAGGACATGCTGAAATATTAGTAGAAGGTATTGAAATTGTCAGAAAAACCGCAGTTAGACTGTAACGGGGTTACACGACGGTTGTAGCGTCTTTCCGAGAGTTTACGGTTAAACTCCCCTTTGTATTGCATATAATGCATTATTATACTTCTCTTTTAGAGAGGTATTAAGTATGAGCGTTAAGATACGGTGTTCGGTAATACCGTATCTTATCGATTGGGATTCGATAAATCACTAACGCTGTATTAAGTACATCATACACAGATGTTTAGACGATACGTCGTCCAATAGCAAGGTCTGCATATTATAATTACTATTATAGTAATTAATCTAGTGTAGTGTACTTAGAGTAGGACTATTCATAAAATCTTAAAGCCTAAATAAAATCAGTTCTCCTTTTGAGTTTAAGATCGCAAGTCGTTCTGACTTGCTCTCTTGTGCACTTCGTGCGTTGGTTCTCTGAACCCCTAAGCTTCTAGCTTGTTCTTGCACTCTGTGCGTTGGTTCTCTGAACCTTAAGCTTATTGCTTGCTGACTAAAAGTCTCTTTCCTAGTTCCTTAGAACAGGGTGACTTTAAGTCGTTTAATTGGTTCCTTAGAACTAAGTGGCTTTTAGCCTTAACTCTATTTAGTTCTCTAGAACTAAGAGGCTTCCAGCCGAAAGTCTTCCTCTGGCTAAAGAGCTGTGCAGCTCCGCTACACTTGGTAGCACTTGTAGTCAATCCTACACCTGAGTCTTTAAAGACTGACCCTCTGTGAGGATGGAGAGCCAAAATCATCTATCTGAGGCACAACGACTCGCCTTAGATAAACTATCTGCGTTCGTCGGGCCCGATCAAATCGAGGCTCTTTTGGCCCAAGGCCCCGAGGTTCTAAATGCTCGTCTTGAGGTCTTTATGCGTTATGAAGCAACGCTCCTCGGGCAGGTCCATGACCAGGCAGCGTCAGCTGCGCCTACACAGTACATTCCGGTACCTGTACCCGATTCAGAGCCAAAGGCTCGCCCACTCGTTTTAAACGTGAAGACATTCGAGGGGAAGGAGAGAGAAAATCTTCTCCTCTGGATTCGAAAAGTTGAAATGGCAATGGATGCCGCCATGCTTGTTTCATATAAGCAACGAGTTGGCTTGGCCATTTCGAAGCTCGGTGGAAGAGCTAGAGAGTGGGCTGTAACGAGCGATGTATCTGTGAATGCTGCATTCCCCACATGGGAAATGCTTAAAAAGCAATTAACTTGTGTGTTTGCACCGCCTAATCTGGCCTGCCCTGGTATCAATCAAATACCTCTAACAGGGCGGAACCCATGGATCTCAGCCAAGCTGAAGAAGCTGAGCTTCAAGCTGCTGAGCAGCAAGGTAACATCCGTAGATGTTATATGTGCGGAAGCACTATGCATCTCCGCCCTAGCTGTCCGTTGCGAAATCAACGTTCAAATCGGCAGAGCTGAAACCCTGCTCCTAGCCAAAAGGCGAGCACGGCAGCGGAAAACGTCAAATTCCAGTAGTCGCGGGGCGACCTACTGGGAAAGAACTAAGTTAAGGAACTAAGTTCTGTTGAACCTTTAGGAGGTGAAGGAAAACAGGGCTTAGCCCCAGGTGGTTCTGTGGACGCTTCCATGGAACAAGATTGCAAGCCAGGCTTGTTGGTTGTGTCGGCAACCGTTAAGGGTTTTGTGAAACCATGGTCAATTTTAATTGACTCAGGGGCGTCAGGTAATTATGTCCGACGTCGTTCCCTTGAAGGGAGTCAGCTGTATGCTGAGGCTCTAGAAGCGCAAGAGGGTGATAGTATAACCTTGCGTCTCGCGACCGGTGTACGTGCCACCGTTCCTAAAGTTCCGTTGAACTTAGGTGTGAAGTTCTTAGACTTCAATAGCGTTGAACGCTGTCTTGTACTAGATTTGGACTCGAGATATGATCTCATTCTCGGTATGGCCTGGCTGGAACGCCATGAGCCGTGGATCGATTGGAATCCAAAACTTTAGGCGCAACGCGCAATGTTCCTAGCGAAGCTTTGGAGAGTCATGAACCCACCTTCGCTAGAAAACAAAAGTGTTATTGGCGCGAGCCATTAACTAATTCAGTTCGTGTGCTGGATATTGGAGTGTCTGAGTTGATAAACTCCGATGCCAACAATATTAGTGTCGAGCAGAGTTCAATGACACTTAGTGGAACGGCACGTACTCCGTTGAGTGAAACTTATAGCAATATTGAGACACTGGATGTCGGTAATGACATCGGCTCTCGTATAGAGCAAGTGAAGGTCGATGACCTTGTTAGTAATATTGGCTGTAAATGCAATTCACTGGATGTCGGTAATGACATCGGCTCTCGTATAG